TTAGCTTGATTCTCCTTTTCAGCTATGTAGAACACGGTATTTTTTTTTCTTTCAAAACTTCAAAGGTAAGACTTTTCTTGCTCCTTTGATAAAAGAAAATCCGATTTTTTCACTCATATATTTTTTGCAAATCCAGTTTTGGCATATGAATCAAGTCTCTTTACTTGAGGAAGAGAGATCCTATTTTAGTAATTTTTATTAGGACCCTCGAGTAGTCCCTCTATATTTTTAATTGAAAAGTATTTTTTTATTTTATCATGTAACTGATTCCTAATCTGTACTTGTCTATTTGATCACAGATATGTTATCCTTCCATTGTGTTCTTGATTTTATTTTTTCTGAAGTAATTTTAAAACAAATATTAAATTTTACTCACAAATTGGAGGTGATATTATATTTCTGAACATATCCTCTTAACTTTTGTTAGGATCCCTAGGAGAGTCACCAGACTCAGTAAAATCTTCAGTCTCTCCAAGGAGGTCTGATGAAAATATGGCAAAGTTGGACTACAATACAACTACAGAGAAACAAGCACCTAAGAGAAAAATGGTCAAGCCTAAGGTTAATGCAAAAATAGTGGCAATGCCTAAAAATTTAAATCAGTCAAAGAAAGGTGAAACTTTGAATAATAAAAATTCTAAACAGAAAATGCTTCCTGGGCAGGTTATATCAAAAACTCAGCCTTCCTCTCAAAGTCCTTTAAAAAGTGAAATATCTGTTGTCCAAAAAAGTATGTTTCATGATATGCGTGATAATAACAACAAGGACAGTGTTTCTGAACAGAAGCCTCAGCAATCTCTCATTAATCTTGCATCTGAAATCAGTGATGCAGAAGCATTCAAGTCATCCTGCAGGCCTGACCCACAAAAGCCATTAAATGATCAAGGAAAAGAGAAGCTAGTGTTAGAATGCCAAAATATTTCAAAGCTGGATAAAACATTAAAACATGAACTGGAATCAAAACAGATTTGTTTAGATAAAGGTAAAACAAAATTTCCCAATCACAAAGAAACAGATCATTGCAATGCAGCTAATATATGTTATCATTCTGATGGGAGTGATAATGTAAATTCAAAATTTTATAGCACCACAGCCCTAAAATACATTGTTTCAAATCCAAATGAAAACTCCTTGAACTCTAATCCAGTTTGTGATTTAGACTCAACAAATGCAGAGCAAATCCATTTGATATCAGATAGGGAGAACCAAGTAGGGAGAAAAGAAACAGACAAACAATCAGGTATTAAATGTGATGAAGATGTTTCACTGTGTGTTCCTGAAAGGACAAATGATACCTTAAATTCTGCTCAAGAAGACAACAAATCTAAAGTTCCTGTGGAAGGACTGACAATTCCTAGTAAGTTATCTGATGACTCTGCTATGGATGAAGACAAGCATGCTACAGCAGACTCCGATGTTTCCTCCAAGTGTTTTTTGGGACAGCAATCAGGAAAAAATTCTCCTAAAAATATGGAAACATCAGAATCTCCAGAGAGCCATGGAACTCCAGAAACTCCATTTGCGGGTCACTGGAATTTGAGTACTGGTGTTCTGCATCAGAGAGAGAGTCCTGAATCTGACACTGGCAGTGCTACCACATCCTCCGATGACATAAAGCCCAGGTCTGAAGACTATGATGCTGGAGGGTCTCAGGATGATGATGGGTCAAATGACAGAGGTATCTCTAAATGTGGCACTATGCTGTGCCATGATTTTCTTGGAAGAAGTAGCAGTGATACCAGTACTCCTGAAGAATTAAAAATTTATGATAGTAATTTAAGAATTGAAGTAAAAATGAAAAAGCAAAGTAGTAGTGATCTTTTCCAAGTTAATTCAACAAGTGATGATGAAATCCCTAGGAAAAGGCCAGAATTTTGGTCTCGATCTGCAATAGTTCACCCTAGGGAAAAAGAAAATATTCCACGAGGCAGTGTCCAATTTGCTCAGGAAATAGATCAGGTATCTTCTTCAGCAGATGAAACAGAAGACGAAAGATCTGAAGCTGAAAATGTTGCAGAAAATTTCCGTATATCTAACCCAGCTCCTCAGCAGTTTCAGGGAATTATTAATTTAGCTTTTGAAGATGCAACTGAAAATGAAAGTCGTGAGTTTTCTGCAAATAAAAAGTTTAAAAGGTCAGTTTTACTTTCAGTCGATGAATGTGAAGAGCTGGGATCTGATGAAGGAGAAGTCCATACTCCCTTTCAGCCTTCTATAGATTCTTTTTCACCTTCTGATGTTTTTGATGGCATTTCTCATGAACATCATGGAAGGACCTGCTATTCCAGATTCTCGCAAGAAAGTGAAGATAATAATTTAGAATGTAAACAAAATAAAGGCAATAGTGTATATAAAAATGAAAGTACTCTCTTTAGTAGCATTGATTCTTCAAGAAAAGACACACAGAGTGTTTCAGCCACAGAAAAAAAGAACACAATAGACATCCTATCCAGAAGAGGCAGACAGCTTCTTCCAGAAGATAAAAAGGAAAACAATGGAAGCAATGTGAATAATGACATTCAGCAACGCGGCAAATTCTTGGATAGTGATGTAAAATCTCAAGAAAGACCATGTCATTTGGAGCTTCATCAAAGAGAACCCAATTCTGACATACCAAAGACCAACTCTACAAAATCCCTAGACTCCTTTCGGAGTCAAGTTCAGTCTCAGGAAGTTCCAGTGAAAGAGAGCCATTCTACAACTACTGAAAAAGCTAATATTGCTTTATCTGCAGGTAATGTACAGAAATAGAAATGCTAAATGCATAAGAAAATAAGTTTATAAAATATTAAAGTTGTTTGAAGCCCTGGATGTTATATTTTAGTCAGATAGAATAATTACTTAACAGATTAAAATTTTAAATGAAAAATTTCTTAATATGAAAATTAGCCATTCATTCTTTATTGTTCACTTAAAATCCTAATGAAGAAGTAATATCTAGTAAAAATTTTGATTCTTTATTAGATAGAGGTAACCTACTAAGAGATTTTACATGAAAGAATAAAAATAAAAACTTAGTTTGCTGCTAGTTATTTATGTATAATTTAACACAAGAATTATTGACTATTAGAAATTTTATTATACATTGGGTATGATTTATAGACTTGATAGTATATAAGAGGCCTGTGCAATAACTCTGGTAATATGTAACTAAAAGCACTGAACTATTTTAACAACTAGATTGATTATTACAATTTATACACATTTTACAGAGATTAAAATTTTCAGGATCTCTCTATTCTAAAATTTTCAAATAAAAAGATAAATTTCCTAAAAGAGATTATATTTAGAAGCAATGATAATATATGAAAAAAGCCCAGGCTTATTTCATATTGTTTAGATGATTTTCTGTCTAATTGTTTTGTGTTTTTGTCTTCCTTATAGTAATTCAGACTAATGACCCACTTTTAAAATATGCAGTAGTGGCTAACTGAGTAGCTATTGTTTATCATAACTAAGAAAACAGTAGTTTCCTGTTCAGCAAAATCGGAAGAATAAGGAGGTCTTTAAAGTTGTACTTTTTTGTTTGTTCGTCCTTGCTTGCATCTTCCTTTGCATGTGCAATATACAAATAAGCCTTTAGGTAAAATGTATTTATTCCCCTTTTGCAATGGACTTACCCTAAAAGTCATCAAAACAGTATGTCTTTTTTTTTTAATTTTTTTTCTATTGTAGTGAATTAGATATATGTGCACATTCTATGTTTATGTTTAAATCATGTTTTCTGTATCACAAGTTTTCAAATTAAAGTATGGAGAATTATTATTAGTTGCCTATGTTGATTTTGCTGCTAAACGTTACCCTTGAATTTTTAACAGAAAAATAAATGCCTCAAAAATCTTGTCAATTTTGTATAAATGTTATTTTTCCCATTCTGTGTTTTTTTTTTTTTTTGGACTATCACTGTTATATTGTGTTAATATTCTACAAAACTCTGAAGGGTACCAACATGTGCAATTTTTACATTGTGTAGTATTATGAATTATTTCAGGAGACATAGATGATTGTGACACACTGGCACAAACCTGCATGTATGACCATCGACCTTCAAAAACCCTCTCGCCAATATATGAGATGGATGTAATAGAAGTACTTGAGCAGAAACTGGAATCAGAAACACATGTTACAGATACGGATTTTGAAGATGACCAACATTTTGCAAAACAAGATTGGACACTACTAAAGCAACTGCTGTCTGAACAGGATTCAAACTTAGATGTTACAAATTCCGTTCCTGAAGACTTAAATTTAGCACAGTATCTAATCAATCAGACACTACTTTTAGCACGAGACAGCTCAAAACCTCAGGGTATAGCACATATTGACACTTTGAACAGATGGAGTGAACTAACATCTCCACTTGATGATTCCTCAGCAAACATCACTATGGCTAGTTTTTCCTCTGAAGATTGTTCACCTCAAGGGGAGTGGACAATTCTGGAACTGGAAACTCAGCATTAACTGTTAACATTTTGGAAAAATTTAAATTATGCCACTCCTTTATTTTTTTGATGCTTATATTATATCCAAATGGTAATTCCATTACCTGGATATAAACTTTCCTTAATATTAAGTCTTTCCATTTTAATGAGGTCAACAGTTTATTAATATATCACATATAGAAAAATGTTTTTCTAAAGTTTTTGAGCATGTTTTCTATAATTATTAGAGAAATTAGAAGACTTGTAAGGAAACCCTTGCTTCAGTTTTTCTTTCCTAACTGATCATTTGTTCACTTGTTCATTATTCAGGAATTTAAAGTGTGAATGCACAAGTAGATCAGTCCCTTTACTTTTTGCTCTGCATAAGGTAACATAGTAACTTAACAATAAAAAACTTACGTGCTTGTGTCCATTCATGTAGAGTTTTCTGTGAATAACATTCAAACTCACATTTAGGTGATTGAGGCTGATAGCTGAGTGTTGGGAAAGTTTTTTCCCAACAATTCAGGTTCAGGAAATTCTGAAGCAAGTGCATCTCAAATTTCAGCCACATCATGGCTAAAACAAGAGAAATGGAATTCCTGTCTCTTTTAGGGGTATATCCAGAGAAGGGAATCTGCCCTTGTTCAAAAGCATAGACTTCCTTTACAGGTAGTCACTCATTCTCCATTTTCCATTCCATGTTAGGGATATGTTGGAACTGCACCTGCAGTAAGCCAGCACTAATTATAAACTTGAAAATGAGTATATGAGGCAATTGAGTTAATTTGTGTGTATGTGTATGTATGTGCACACACTCATGTTTGCTTTCTTGGTGTGTCAGTATATGCCAGTTACTTATTTCCTTGATCAGATTGCCTTTCAGTATGTAATTTTGGTAGTAAGTCAAAGATAAAAACCTTTTCTATAAAATGCTACTTGGGTAGCATTGTAGCGAGTACTTGGGTACTTTTGATATTGGAATATTGATATTGCCTGTAGGATTATGGGATTTCATAAATAAGCCTCAAAGCTTTGTGACTCATAATTCTCTGAAATATGTCAGAAGTTAAGAAAATAGTTTAGAATCTTTTTTTAAATTAGTAAGTCTTCAACAAATAACAATAGAATCTATAACTGTATTGAATACAAGTCATTAATGCACAATAATTTGTTCTAATACAATTATGTTAAGGTTAGCTGCTCACCTATTATGCCATAAATTTGCTATGCCTTTTTTTTTAACTAGAAGCTGTGAAGAGGGGCACTTGTTCAAGAAATAATTATTAACTAATTCAAAGTCAAGAAACAGGCTCTGGATTTCGGCACTTGTGTGTAAAGAAAATAAGACTTGATTTCCGCCCTTAAAAAAAAAAGTTTCTAGTAAGAGGATATGGGGGGAATCGTGTAAGAAAAAGTTCAAAATACAGTATTATAAAAACTTTGTAATTTAGAGCTGGATGAGAATTTTGTTTTATGTCTTCAAATTCCAAAGATGGGCTCTGATGCCCAGAGGAATTAAGAGCTTGCCCAAGATCCCACAGCTCGTTTGTGGGCTAGGATTCAATATCTGTAGCCCTATTCAATATGTGTAGCCCACAGTAATACCACTTTGGTATTTCTACCACACAACACACTTTTTCTCACAAACCTGAGATCAAATACATTTACAGATTGTTTGCAGTGCAGATAGTTTGCAGTATAAAGAAATACTATAAAGACAGCACAGATTCCCAAGACACTATGTTTTCCAAATGTGAAACTGTTTTTAAGTGTTACTTTCAATAAACTTCTTCAGAAGTTCACACATTTATAATTGAAACTTAATTTCTTTTCCCAGTTTTAAGGTCTTAAAATCTTCTTAAACTGCTAAACATTAAAATCTATTCAGTTTCACATCACATCTGCAAGTAGATAACTAGGAAGCCATTTTGCTTACATAGTAACCGCTCAGAGAATTTCAGGACATACTGTGTTTTCATAGCATGCTCTTTTGTGAACCACACATCTACCAGTCTGTTTGCTATGGGACTCTTTGTACTAGTGCTTCATCATTTAACAAACATAAATTGAAAAGGAATTGCTGACATTCATTTAGCACTTACTACACGTTAGATTCTATGATAAGTGCTTTAAATATGCATTAACACATTTAATTCTATGAGATATGTCTTCTTATTTTATATATGAGGAAACTAAGTAGAATCCTTTCCCTGGATGAGCTACCATTGTAGAAAAAAACCAAAGGAGAAAATAACACACTAGACTATTGTTTAGTAAGATAACAGCTGTATATAGTCAGATGTATGGGGGCCCAGAAGGAGAAGCTATCAACGGCTTGTCAGGAAGAGCTTAGAGAAAGCTGCTTAGGGCAATTAATAGTCTGTGACTGCTTCAGAATTTCTAGAGAGGAGTTTAGCTGCAATCTAGTTGGAAGTGTAGGCCGAGGGACTTGTCTTGAAGATGCACTTGCATAGCAAGTACTTTGCTTTCACTTAGTATGTTGCAGATAATAAAAATATATTTTTAAAGATGCTTTTTGTACATAGTGTACATAGATTGCAAAACTCCATGTGAAATATTTTGTTTTGATTTGGGTTGCTTAGAGAGGACTGATGAGGTTTATGGAAAGGGTGTAAAACCCCCATTATACCATTTTTTGGTGAAACCAGGAAGCATCTGATGCTGGCTTTCAAGGGTGAATAGGAATTTGGTGATAGGGCAGTCTAGATATGGCAGTACATTAAGGAACGGTGGCCAGAGTGGGTATTGAGGATAGGGAGGAAGAATAGTAGGAGACAGGGCTAAAGAGTTGAGATGGTGCTGGGTTCTGAAAGTTACTGCTCTAAATGCAGTCTTTAACGTGTTTAAGCCTTGGATTTGGTGGGTAATATGTCTCCCTTATTATGCATTCATTTATTTAGTTCAATTCTTAGTACGACGTATTTCCATGCTCTTCAGAAATAACCACCTACAACTCATAATGAATAATAAAGTTGTTTTTTAAGTAGTTAGGTAACATAATCTTGTGTGTTTTAGAAAAATAACCAGCAGTAATGAAGATGGCCAAGTATGGAGAAGTGCCCAAACCTGTCAGGATGCAATTATGATAGTTTTGTGGACCTTAGAAATAGGAAATGAGAAGGATTTGGTAAGAGAGACACTAGGTGAGTTGAGACTGTAGAACTTGATGAATGATTACATGGTGTCAGAAGATGGAAAGGAATTTTTAAATTGCTATCAGAGGCTGAACACATGGCTTACACCTGTAATCCCAGCACTTTGGGAGGCAGAGGCAGGTAGATTGCTTGAGCCCAGGAGTTTAAGACCAACCTGGGCAACATGGCAAAACCTACCTCTAAAATTTTTTTTTTTAATTAACTGGGCATGGTGACATGTGTCTATAGTCCTAGTTACGCAGGAGGCTGAGGCAGAAGGATCACTTGAGTCCAGGAGTTAGAGACTGCAGTGAGCTGTGATTGTACCACTGCTCTCCAACTTGGGCAACAGAGTGAGACTCTCTCTCAAAGAAATAAATCAATTGTTATCAGAAATAACATTCATTCCACACATTGAGGGCCTACTTTGTTCCCAAAACTTTGCTAGTGCTAGAAATAAAAAGATGAATGACATAGTATCCATCCTTGAGCATCTCGATCTAATAAGGGAGATTTTTAAACAAAAATTGCAAAATTGCAATGTTAAGTGTCAAAGCTGAATAGAAAGTGTAATTTGGGGTGCTTGGATAGGCTCCTTTAAGGATTAGTAGGAATTCGTAAAGAGGCACATTCTTGGCAGAAAAGTTCAAAGCAGTGGGGAATTCTGTTCTGTCTGGCTAGAGGGAGAAGGAAATGGATGGGAAGGGCAAGGAATGAAATTGGACAGGAAAGTGGAATCCAGAGATTAACAGGATCAGATTTTCATTTTCGATGACTCTGGTAGCAGGATGTAGTATGGAATGGAGCAGGGTGACAAGGCAAGGAGACTAATGAAGAGTCAGTTTCAATAATAAAAGCTTGAATAGGGCAGTGGCAGTGGAGACGGAGTGGATGTGTTTGAGGGATTTAAAAGGTGGAATTGAAACTCTTAGTGATTCTTTGGATGTGGGAAATAAGAGATGGGAATCATCTTAAAAGACTCGGGTTTCTGGCCAGGCGCAGTGGCTCACGCTTATAATCCCAGCACTTTGGGAGGCCAAGGCGGGTGGATCACGAAGTAAAGAGATCGAGACCATCCTGGTCAACAAGGTGAAACCCTGTCTCTACTAAAAATACAAAAATTAGCTGGGCATGGTGGTGCACGCCTGTAGTCCCAGCTACTCGGGAGGCTGAGGCAGGAGAATTGCTTGAACCCAGGAGGCGGAGGTTGCGGTGAGCCGTTCCATTGCACTCCAGTCTGGGTAACAACAGAGAAACTCCATCCCAAAAAAAAAAAAAGACAGGTTTCTGACTAGGGTGCCTGGGTGGTTGATGATGTCATTAACCAAAAACAGGAGCAAGTGTAGGAGTGAAGATCAGTTTAATTTGGGTCATACTGAATTTGAAATGCCTGGAGGACATTCAAGAGGCAGAGGACAAAATGCTGTGGAATAGTCAGAAAAGCCTGAGACAGACTGAAGCAACGCATTCACAAGTAGGAGAAGTGGGAGGCCAAGGTAAGGAGAGACGAATGTTTTGTTTGTTTTGTTTTGTTGAAACATGGTCTCACTCGGTCACCCAGACTGGAGTGCAGTGGCACAATCATGGCTCACTGCAGCCTCAACTTCCTGGGCTCAGGTGATCCTCCCACCTCAGCCTCCTGAGTAGATGGGACTACAGGTATGCCAGGCTAGTTTTTGTATTTTTTGTAGAGACAGGATTCTGCCATGTTGCCCAGGCTGGTCTCAAATTTGTGAGTTCAAGTGATCCTCCCATCTCAGCCTCTCAAAGTGGTGGGATTATAAAAGATTTTTTGGTTTGTTTTTGCTTTTTTAAATTCAATGTTAAGGGAATAAATATGAGATCCTCATATGATGTTTTAGGAGTATAAACTGTTTTTTTGATAAGCAGTTAACAGTTTGTAGCTTTTTTTTTTTTTGAGATAGTCTTGCTTTGTTGCCCAGGCTTGAGTGCAGTGGCATGATCATGATTCACTGCAGCCTCAACCTCCCTGGTTCAAGCGATCCTCCCACCTCAGCTTCCCAGGTAACTGGGACTACAGGCATGTACCACTCTGCTCAGCTGATTTTTTATTTTTGTAGATACAGGGTCTCCCTATGTTGCCCAGGCTGGTCTCTGAACTCCTGGGCTCAAACAATCCTCCTGCCTTGACCACCCAAAGTCCTGGGATTATGGGCATGAGCCACCATGCCAGGTCTGTAGCTTTGTATCTTTAACCTAGCCCTTTCTCCTCTTGGGATCTACCATTAAGAAACAAGGCCCATTTACCGCCATACGACCCTGAACACATCTGATCTCGTGTGATCTCAAAAGAAATAAGGCCAGACATGGTGGCTCACACCTATAATCCCAGTCTCCCAAGTACCTGGGACTACAAGGCACCTACTGCTACACTTTATCTTTTAGCTCATATTTTTCATGTCTTCTACAGGCACAGAAAAATAAGTAGGTGTGTTCATTTTTAAATAAATAGTAGTAAACAGTTTCAAATGCTGTTTTTGATGTTAATTAGGGCACACACTTAGACTAGTCCATTTGATTTGGAAATTTGATTTTATTTGTGCTTTTAGTGGCTTTTAAAAGATCAGTCATAGGGGCAGAAACTAGACGAGTGGGTTGAAATGTGAAAAGGAAATAAGTAGTACTTACTCTTTCAAGGAGCTTGACTGAAAAGGAGACAGTGGTAGTTGAAGATACAGCTGTTTTTAAAAAAATAAAAATTATTTCAGCACTTTGAAAATAAAAAGTTAAGAATGATCAATGAATCAAGGATCATCAAGAAAGAGGCAAGAGGAGGTAAAATTAAGCACAAAGAGTATTAACTGTTACGTGGCATTTCGAGGAACTTCAGGTGTTCAATATAACTGAAGCACCAAATGCGTGTGGACAGCAGTGAAGATAAAGCTGGAAACGTGCTGGCAGGCCAATACGTGATAGACCCTGTAGGCGGTGGACAAACACTATGAGCAAGCCACTTAGGCAAACATCTGAATAATTTAAAAATCAAAGGCAAACACATAGGCCTGTTTCATTAAAATCACTCGCATTCTAGCAGGTTATGGTGACTGGAAAGCTGATGGTTCCTGGTTGGAAAAAAGATAATTTTGAATTTGGACATGTCACATTTGAGATGCAGTTGACACACCCAAGATACATAATATATTGTCTTTCAAAATTCAGAAACCCAATAAACCATGCTCTTTCTATCCCCCACTCTATCTGCTACTAGTTTTGGCAGGGGGCAGGGTACTTTATTTGGCTCAGTTTAATGATCTATTGCAGGGGCTATTTTGGAGTTGTAATTATCTATATATTCTTCTCCAGTTATATTTATATACTTTTTATCTTGCAAATTCAAATACCAACACTATTTTGAATCTGGCTTAGCTAGATATAAGAAATGTACATTTCTATTATGTTAATATTGTACTAGTTTTAGTGTTTGGTGTTTGTGATTCACCTCTCATACAGTGGTGTCTTAATTCCAAACTTAACCAACATTAGCATAAGAATTTTAATTCTAATTTGAGAATTTCAGTTCTACTTTGATGCTGTATTTTACTTTTATTTTTGAGACATGGACTTGCTCTGTTGCCCAGGCTGGAGTGCAGTGACACAATCACAGCTCATTGTGGCCGTGATCTCCTAGGCTCAAGACATCCTCCCACCTTAGCCTCCCTGGTACTTGGACAGCAGGCATGCACCACCATGCCTGGTGTTTTTTTAGAGATGGGGTCTCACTTTGTTGCCCAGGCTAGTCTTTAGTTGGGCTCAAGTAATCCTCATACCTCAGTCTCCCAGAGTACTGGGATCACAGGTGTGGCCAAGCCCTGCCCAGCCCCTGACGCTATATTTTTATAACACCATCCCAATCAATTAAACATTGAATTTTCAAATCAGGAATATATTAGGAAAAAATATTTTTATTCAGAGACATAACATTTTTCCCTGTAAAGACTTTCATGAATATGAAGTGTACTGAGAAGTGTACTGAGGTTTACCTCTTTTTTTTTTTTTGAGACAATTTCGCTCTGTCACCAGGCTGGAGTGCAGTGGCGCGATCTTGACTCACTGCAATCTCCGCCTCGGGTTCAAGTGATTCCCCTGCCTCAGCCTCCCGAGTAGCTGGGACTACAGGTGCACAGCACCATGCCCCACTAATTTTCTTTTTTTTTTTTTTTTGTATGTTAGTAGAGACAGGGTTTCACCATGTTGGCCAAGATAGTCTCAATCTCCTGACCTTGTGATCCGGCTGCCTTCGCCAGGTTTACCTCTTTTCTTTAAATTCCATGCTCAATTTTAGCCTGGCAAATGAGCTAAAAACAAAATTGCAACCAAAGTATACCTGCATTTAAACAATTACATGCTTAGGAAAGAAAATGTCTAATACTCTTACAAAATTGTTCTTTTACATCCATGCACCTCTCAAATATATATAATCTAGTCAACTGGGGAGGCAAAATATATATATATATACACATATGTGTGTATATATACATGCGCAGTCTACTTTGTTAATCAGGAGGCCATTGGCCTGAGGTTGTCTCCATAATTTGAATTTCTATTTAAAGAACTGCAACTTAGTATATAACAAACCGAATATTAATTTAAGAGTATAATAAATAACTGAGTCTCAGCCAATCATAAACAGCTGAGCTTCTGCTAGTCACAGGCTACCAACTGATTAGACTATGTCCAAATAAGGCAAACTCAGAGCTGTAACCAATCAATTTATTTCTGTACAATAGTACCTTGGTATTTCCAGGGGATTGATTCCAGAACCCCTACAGTTACCAAAATCTTCGGATGTTCAAGATCTTTATATAAAATGGTATATGGCCGGGTGTGGTAGCTCATGCCTGTAATCCTGACACTTTGGAAGGCTAAAACAAGCAGATCACTTGAGGTCAGTAGCTGAGACCAGTGAAAGGGGAGAGTTGCCTGATTCCCCTTGCTGGAGGCAGGATGTGCGACTGGGATGCGGCTCCCTTGAGTAAGGGGGAACATGCAGATGGACAGGTGCAGAGGCCGGGGCCAGTGCTTTGGTTCCAGCTCCACGATAGTGTCTAGAGGTAGGTGACTGCAACCTCAGTGTTATGAAGCTCTTTCAGCTTTGCAGTCTGCAGACGGCTTCAGTGTTAATCAGCTCAATGAACCCTCTGCCTTATCCAAAGGGCAGAGGGCCAGTGTGACAGCTTTTCTGTATCCTGAGAGCTTGCCCAGCGTCCTGGAAGAAACAGATCACATGCGGGCTTGAAGGATGGGTATGAGGTTTTGTTGAGTGGTAGAGGTGGCTCTCAGCAAGATGGATGCAGAGCCGGAAAGGGGGATGGAGTGGGAAGATGATCTTCCTCTGGAGTCGGGCTGCCCAGTGGCCAGACTCTTCTCCAACCACCCCCCATCCAATTCCTGTTGACGTCCAGAAGTCCCTCCTCTTCTCTCTTTCTTTTCCACATTGTTCCACTGTCGGTCTGCTTGCCTCCTTGTCTCCCCGCCTGCTAATCTTCTCTGGAGCTTGAGGTTCGAGAGGTTATATGGGGACAGGATAGGAGGCGTGGTGGGCCAAAAGGCACCTTTTTGGTTGCAAAAACAAAAATGCCTGTTCTTATTTAGGGCTGCGTGGGTATCTGGGCTTAAAGGAGGGATTTTTGCCGGGGAACCACCCTCTTCTACCCAGTATTCCCGTCTCCTGCTCCTATCACCAGCCTGGCCAACAAGGAAAAATCCCATTTATATTAAAAACACACACAAAAAAATAGCTGGGTATGGTGGCAGGTGCCTATTGTCCCAGCTACTAGAGAGGCTGAAGCACAAGAGTCACTTGAACCTGGGAGGCAGAGGTTTCAGTGAGCGGAGATCCCGCCACTGCACTTCAGCCTGGGCAACAGAGCAAGACCCCCTCTCAAAAAAAAAAAAAATGGCCAGGCACAATAGCTCGCACCTGTGATCCCAGCACTTTGGGAGGCTGAGGGAGGTGGAACACCGGAGGTCAGGAGTTTGAAACCAACCTGGCCAATGTGGTGAAATCCTGTCTCTATGAAAAATACTAAAATTAGCTGGGCATGGTGGCCCGTGCCTGTAATCCCAGCTACTCGGGAGGCTGAGGCAGGAGAATTGCTTGAGCCCAGGAGGTGGAGGTTGCAGTTAGCCAAGATCGCACCACTGCACTCTAGCTTGGGCAGCAGAGTGAGCCTCCATCCCCCACCCCCCCAAAAAAAGAATAAATTTAACCAAGGAGGTAAAAGATATGTATACTGGAAATTATGAAACATTGGTGAACTGAAGGTAAGTAAACAGAAGGATATTCTGTGTTTATGGATCTGAAGAATTAATATTGTTAAAATGTCCATACTATCCAAAGCAATTAATCAATTCAGTTAAATCCCTATGAAAATTCCAATGATATTTTTCACAGATACAGAAAAAAATTCTAAAAATTTTAAATAAAATATATATTTTTTTTTCTTTTGAGACAGAGTCTCCCTCCATCGCCCAG